GAGTAATGATACATAAAACAACCCCAAAGTTCCAAACTGCCAAATGAGTTCAACAAGGACACGCGATATCCCCAAAGCTGTTTACAGCAACATCAGGAGAAATCTTCTAGACTGGACCAACAAAGGATTAAAAATAGATTGAGAATAAAAAAAAAATTGAACAGTCTAAGATTTGCTGCTGACATAGTCCTAATTGGCAATAGTCATGAAGAACTACAAACCCAAATTAACGAACTAAACACAGCCAGCAATAAAGTAGGTCTCAAAATGGATTTACAAACTAAAGTAATATACAACGAACTAATAAACAGAAACACATCCTAATAATTAACACAAAACTGGAAACAGTGGAAAATACATATATTTTATATACATATATTATATAATATTTCTGATATAAATATTATATATTTATATCAGAAATCAACCGAAGAATTAAGTTAGCATGGAGTACTTATGGAAGAACAAATCTAGAATGCCAAAACATTCGACAAATGTGTACTCCCATTCATGACCTATGCATGCGAAACCTGGACACTTAAAACGGACATTAAAAGGAAACTGCAGTTTGCACAGCGCTCAATGGAACATGCTGGGAATAACCAAGAAAGACCACAAAAGAATAGAGTGGATATGACAAAAGACCTAGATAATAGATGTCATCAACAGAATCAAATCCCTCAAGTGGCAATGGGCAGGAAACCTGGCAAGAAGGATGAAGAACAGATGGACCACAAAAATTGCAGCATGGTACTCACGAGGAAATAAGAGACCTAGAGGAAAACCAAACCTGAGATGGAACTATGATAGTAGGAAATTAGGAGGGATGTCTTGGATGCCCGCATAGATAACAAAAGACAACAATGGACCCAACTACAAAGGGGCTATCTAAATAGGTGAGGGAGGCTACACCATAATTGGAAATAGTTGAGTAAGCTAAAAATGATGATGATGATGTACTAGTGTTGTACTTCAGTCAACTATAAAATTTACTTACAAATTAACTTATTATGTACCTCTTCCTGCATTTTATCTTTTATTTACGTCTTGTCAGAAATTTTGGTACGACAATTTGACTTAGGTGTTTCAGTAGTGTATTTAATATTTGTATTATTAAATCCTTATTATCATTCTGTATCTATTTAAAAAAGAATATCTTTTAATAATTTTAATATGATTAGAAATAATTATTCTCCATCCAGAGCATTAAGCAAACAATGCCTTCCTCTTCTCGTGGTCAGTTATGCCATTTACGGTAAAACAATTTTCCAAACGCCTTTTATAGATCACCCAGTCGCTATTTTGACCAGTGAATTCTCTAATTTTTATTGTGTGTTTATCCTCGTCGCCAATATGGTCAAACTTAATATGTTTTACTAAAAACTATATTTTAATAATGTTTAAAACAGTCAGTATAAATTCTACAATGAAACTGCGTCTTACCATAGTATAAGGAAACTAGTAGTTTTACTCCTTGTCAAATCTTTTGTTCTTTTTCTGCCACTTTATATGACCTTGTTCTCGCCTCCGTAGCCGACGACGTAGCTATATTGTCAAGACTTAAATATAGGCCAACTTGGGTTTACATCAGATTGGGAAAAATCATGTAAAATATAATTCTAGTAAACCAATTTGATGTAGATTCAAGGGAATCGTTCGCGTATACGTCGACCTGAATATGTTCTTATAATAAACATTGATAATTAAACAATTAAAATCAGGTCGATGTAAGCGTGATATTTCAGGGCTAGCTCGTACTAAATATCGGTGCTGGAAATATACAAAGGAGATTTTTGAGCACGTACCCGCCGATAATTGGGACGAGCGGAAAAATATAAAATAGTGTGCTGAAGACAGAGTCGAGAAGTTAGTCCATCGATGTGAGCCGTATTATACAGTTAGTAATCCGCGTCATCAGTCGGTTAGCAGAAGACAGCGCAGACTGAAGATGTTCCTGTAAGTACTTAGTTAACTAAACCATTAAGTCTTGGCATTCCCCAAAATTGTATTATACTGTGAACTTTATGTTAAATAAATGTGTATTTTGTTCAATGGTTGTTTTGATTGAGAGAGGTACGAAACTAAAATAAACGAAAACAAAATGTCAATCGCATTATATACCTATCAATTTTGTTTACATTTACAACGCAAAAAATCGATTTTTTTAAACATTTTTTCCAGAAAATCTTTTTCATAACTTTTTTATAGTTATAATGTAGCAAAAAATTGTAACACCGTGCTCGTCCTGGGCACTAAATGGCCCCAAATGACCCAAAAATCATTTTTCCGCAAATATCTGACAAAATATGAAATTTACAAAATTTTTCTTGGAATCAAGCTTAGATTACCTACAAAATGGTCCTTATAATTTTGTATGTAGAATTAGTAGTTTTTGAGATATTCCGCCTCAAAGATCCCTGAATTTTCTCTCCAAAATTTAATATTTTTGATGATCTAAAGTTCATTTAAAAGGTAGAATCAACAGCTATCACATTTTGGAACTTGTTTGCATTTTGTTATATTTTATGATAATAAAAAAAACCTCACAAACATTCTTTTTTTAGATTTTTATAAAGTTACTCATATTTTCACTAATAATAGCTTATTTGTCAAGATTTTAACAGATGTTCTTTTAAGCAACTCAGAAAGTTTGAAGTATTTGCTTAATTACATTTTAAAACAACTAGTGAGTGGCTATTACCGTTTTTGGGGGATTTTAGGAAAGTAAACACTCGTAAACAAAAGAAAATTGCATATACAGGTTGTTAATTTGTTTATTACTCGCGGCAAGAGCTTTATGGTTGAAGTCGGCCCGCTCGTCGAGAGACGACGCGACGGGACGAGTCGGCAGAAAACCCTATAAGTGCATGCGTTCTCAATAGGCAATGTTCCCCTCTAAGTAACTGTCCAGTTAACAACCTGTATACGAATAGTCGATACTTTACGATAAAAAGTGCTAGGATCATTTTTTTAGCTATGGACCTGATCTTCCATTTGGCGATCATGAAAGTCATCTACATGCCATATTTCGACCAACATTGACGGAAACCCCGTTCTTTGAACCTTTAAGGACGTTTTTAACAGTTTTCCTCGGACTTTACGAAAAAAATTATCAAAACTTTTTTTTTATAGATAATGACCTAAGCTTCATTTTTTATTCCAATGAATAGTTATAAATTGCATACTTTGGCAAATCTTTGCAAAAACTAGTTTTTGGACCATTTGGGATCATTTTTTCGACCAAATCTGGCCGAGCACGATGTTACAATTTTTTATTCTAAAACTACTCCCGAAAATGTACACAATCCGCCTAAAAAGTCAAAGATTGGTTTGGTCAAAATCACGAATAATAGACCATGTTTTGTCAAATGTCAAATCTGCGCCATTATAATAATAATGGCGTCTGTCCAATAGGACAGAAGCTATAATTGACCGAGAAATCAATCACACGAAAACAATCCGAAAAAGAGTTTTTCTATTTTAGTTTAATAAATGCGTATCATGTCCAAAACTATTATGAATAAATCTATGCTTGATTTATATTTTTAGTAAATATTTTAGAAAATTTATAGAAAGAAAATATATATTTCGAATTCATTACCTACATATGATAAATTAACATAACACGATTGACACAGATAGAAATAGCGCAAATATCCAGGAAATTGGATTTTGCTCCTTGCTCTACTTTATTTTAGACGCATCGATACGAAACTATAATAAACGAAAACACAATGTCAATTGAATTATACAGGGTGAGTCTTAAATAAGTACAAATATTTTTAGGGGTAGTCTATGAGGGTTTTTTTGCGAAAATTTTTTTTATTTTTTAGTGGAAAAACATAATTTCTTGATAATCTGGCAACGTAAGTGTAGTAGATTAAATTTACAAGAAAGAAAACACAAAAAAGGTCCAGTGGTTCTCAAAATTTAAGCAAAAAATATTTTTTGTTTAATTTTCAAAGTAAAATAGGTAACTTATTAAACTAATAACTATTATTTTTACTATTAATAACGGTTATTTTGGACTTATTTGAATAACGGTAAAGAGAAAATATGTTTCTTTTATCAAGATTTACCAGCCCTGGAAATATTTGCAATTATTTAAGACTCATCCTGTATGAGTATCAAATTTTTATACATTTGCAAAAAATAGAATTTTTCAAAAAAAATCCTGAAAGTCTATTTCATTGAAGGGTCGAGTTAATTAACTTTCCTGTTCCAAATTTATATACATTACGGATATAGAAAAATACTACATTGTTGAAATAAGAAATGCACTAAAATTGTATTTAAAGATTTTTAAATATCTTTCAATAATTGGTATGGCTAAACTCATTCTAATGAAAATAGTAATTAAAATAAAAAATGTTTGAGTAAATAAGTACAGTAATATTGTTATGGGTTAATTTATTTAAGACTTGTCTCATCATGTACAGATGGTTAATTTTCTTAAAGTACATTTTTTGTGAAAGAACTTCTATAAAATTCAACTCGTGTCACTTCTTATGAACTTTTTAAGTAGCGATATACGTTATGGGACTGTAAAATTTCATTTTTATAGCGACTCGTAATTTTAAACCCTTTTAAGAGATAGCACATGTCGGGATAAGTTGATTTTAAACGTCATGTTCTAGTGAAAAATTTACTATTATTTTTAAGGTTCTCTGAGCTAATGTAATGAATTATGTTTTTTTTGCACCTGTGACAGATAGCATATAAAATAATATAAATTCAATTAATTTTTAACTATACAGGGTGCTACAAATTCGAGGTACGACCATTGGTATCTCGGTAACCGTAATAGATATGAACATGGTTAAATTGGGGCAATGTTGCGCTTTGGGATGTTCACCAAGATGCCATCAAAAAAGTTTTAAAAATTTTACGGATTCCTGAGTTTTTTGGAAGAAAACGGATTTTTTTGAAAATGAATTTTATTTTTTCCTGTCGTTACTTTTAAGAAAATCAAAAAACTAATTGCACATTCTGATGATCACTTTATTAGGGCTATCTAATGGTATTTCTAGATTTTCAAGTTAACTGATAATTTGTGAAATACAGAGGCCAACTTATTTTTTTTAAATAAGGATCTGCAATTTTTATTTCAGATTTTGAAAAAACTCGGCCTCCTGAGTATAAAGAATACCCTTAGTAGGTCGGAGAATAGGTACTCTCAGACCTACTGAATATACATGTAAAATTTCATCAAAATCGGTTGTGAACAAATACAACAACTGTGACACAGATTATATCAGATATATCTACGTAGTAGAATTCTGGAAATATCGCAGATATTTTTATTTATTAATAAAATAATTTCATTTTAAATTTAGTACACCATTAACCTAGGTTAGTTTGATTGGTGTACAAAATTCCTTCATCTTTATGTTTTCATACGTATATATCTTCAAGTCATATTCGCATAGCAAAATAATATTTTGTTCTCTTTTTCTAAATGACGTAAATCGTGCCTCCGGATTCTAGGAAAATATTTTCCCGTCTGCTAACCGAACAGATCTGATTGAAGCGTAATATTTGATCGAATAAAAATATTTCTGAGGAGTTTATTTTTCTCCGATCCGGTAAATCAAATATGTGACGTCCATTATAAAGTATAAGTTGAAATCGTATAAAACGGCGTAACAGAATATATTTGCTATAAAATTATATTGGTTCCAATTATTTTTACATTTTACTTAAATAAATTTCTTAAAATAATTACTTCACTTAAATAATTGTCGCTGATTAATTGGACTGCAATTTCTACAAGTTTAGATCCATATAAAATATTGTTCATATCTTCAATTTATATCCATATCCATAACGTGGTTTTAAAAAATACCAAAATAACCACCTATTATCTGGAATGCCTGGATACCTTAACTTAAGACAACTAATAAAAAGACAAGAAATACATTTTTAATTTATACGTCCATTAAAAAATACGATTTCATACATTTCTCATGGTCGATATTAAAAAAAAATGAATGAAAATAAAAAGAACTCCATGTTCTTATTTTTAGTTTTCTTCTTCATCATCATCGTCGTCTGGGCGTTGTGGAATTTCAAATTCTTCTTCATTTCATCTTCAACAACATTTGTCTCCAAGTCTTCTAGGATTTCAGGGTCAAATGTACAATCTTCATTAACATCACTCTGATAGAGTGAGGCATTGAGACAAGCTTGCCCATTACACTGGCCACAAGCTAAAGAGCATGGAAACCCTGATTTCCTGCATCCACATCGCGAACCACAACTATTCTTGCAGTTGCAGAATATTGTGTTCAGCAAATTTTCTGGAGCTGGTGGTAGAATAGTAGTGGTAGGTTCCAGGAATCCATTACGCATTATCCAACCCCAGTCCTGGGGTTCTAAATCATGCCCTAACCAAGTCTGAACTTGGTAGTAAACACGATTGAAATGTTGGTGAGCTGCTGCACTTATTGGTGGAAGATTTGATAATTGCACAGGTTTATTCAGTTTGGTTGATTTGTTGTATTGTATATAACGAAGATGGCCGATGCTGTTCTCAGATTTTAGGCATTATAGATTGCTAACAAAGTTCGCACTCCATTCTCAAATAATTTTCTAATTGTGTAAGGAGGTAAGTGTTATTAAATGAAGGTATACTTAATTTATAAAAAAATATTATATTCAATATAATCTTATATGAAAAAATGTAAATTATTTATAATTACATATTTTTCAATAATTAACGGACTTTATACGGCGCGGCGTGTTTTGGACCGAGACTACAGGTTGAACTTGAATGATACCGTACATAATGAAAGACTGCGCGCTCACCGCCCTCTATCTCAAAAATGGTTTGAGGTACAAAAAAATTTTTGAAACAAAAGCTGTAGAGAATTTTATCCTCTACAATATATATAATAAATACAAATAAATGTGAAAGGGAACGAGAGGGAACGAGATATTTGCAAAAAATGCGCTAAAAATCGATTTTTTGACCTTTGACCTCAGTTATCTACAAGTCGCGTACATGCTATCATATGTAGGTTTTGAGACATGTTTTAGGATGTTAAAATAAAGGTTTGTACGAGTTTGTAAGAGTTTACAATTCCGAGGTGATACCCCTAAGATGACTGGACTATTGAGCTTGTACTCACCTTGAACCAGTACGTACAACCGGGCCTTAGTAATTATTTTTATCAGGTAGTAATTGATAATTTTCATGTTTAACTTCATATAATGTCATTTTAATAAAACACCAACAGTTTTTATAGACGTATCTGTTGAAAAAAACCAAAGTGTTCTTGAATAGTTGTATTTAGATATTTTAAATAGTTTTTTTCTCTGTTCTTTGTGTTTTTTTCCCGAAACGTTAAGCATTTTTTTTGTCCGTTAGGCAATTTGTTAAATGGTAAATCACTGCTAAAGAGCTGGTTTACAAATGAGGTGTGTTTACAAAAAATAACTATTTTATTTTGTAGTTTTTCTTACAGCGAAATACCCATTGGAGCTTAATTTTAATAAAATTTTAATATTCAGTACTAGTAATAATTTACTATTATTCACGTGAAGGAAAAGTAAGCATGATAAAATAGTACTACGCGGGAAATTACCTTAAAAAATGTATCTGACATGCCTTGGTTAACTTCCCCTGAATATTAAAATTAATTTACTATTGACAATGATAAAACCATAGTTTGTAAACTTGAAATATGTCGGTTTATGACTGGTGTTTGATTGTTAACTGTTTTGTTTTAATATAAAAATAGATGCATCTTTCTTAAATTACTCAAAATCGGCTGGTCCAAAATTGTTCAAAGTTGGCATGTGTATTTACGATACATAAACCTTTAAAAACTCTATTTACGACTTTGCTGTAAAATTAATAGGGGAGCCAATATTTGGACTGTTCAAAATTTGCGTAGGATTACCTATGTTATCTATACTAATATATAAAATCCTTAAGTGACTGACATACTGATTAATCACGATCCTGCTCAAACCACTCAACGTAAGAAGCTCAATTTTGGCATACAGGTTGATTCTAGGGTGTAGAGGTTCGATAAGAAGGGATTTTTCGAAATTCCAGTTCCAAGAGGGTGAAACTATTCCTCAAATATTAAAATATTTTTTATTTAAAAAACGGCCAAGTTTCCGAAAAAACGCTTAAACACGTATTTTTTATTTTGTTTTTTTACATATTTTAAGATTTTTTAAAAACGTATACAGGGTGTTTCAAAAAATCTGGTCATTGATTAATCACGATTCTGCGTAAAGCGCTTAGCGTAAAAAGCTGATTTTGGAAAGCGGATTGACTTTAGGGTGTAGAGATTCGATAATTCTTTTCGAAACTCGAATTCTAAGGGGGTGAAACCGCCCCTCAAATATTAGAATAATTTTTATTTAGAAACCGGTGAGTTTTTCAGAAAAATTCTTAAACACGTATAGTTTGTTATATTTTAAGATTATATTTTAAGATTTTTTTAAAATTTATACAGGGTGTTTCATAAAATATGACCATTAAGTAATCACAATTCTGCTTAAACTGCTTGACGTTTAAAGCTGTATTTTGGCAAACGGATTGATTGTGGGGTGTAGAGGTTCGATAAGGAGTGGTTTCTCGAATCTCAAATTCCAAGAGGGTGAAACCGCCCCTCAAATATTACAATATTTGTTATTTAAAAAACGGTTAGTCTTTTGGGAAAACGCTTGGACAAGCATAATTTATTTGGTTCTTCACATATTTTGAAATTTTTTAAAAAATCATACAGGGTGTTCCAAAAAGTTGGGTAATTTCTTAACCACGATTTTGCTTAAACTACTTGACGTAAAAAACTTATTTTTGGCAACGGATTTTTCAAAAGTCAAATTCCAACGAGATGAAACTACCCCTCAAATATTACCAAGTTATATAATAATATCGCCATATTGTTTTTTCTCATGCTGACATAAATGTGAGAAAATTTTATCCAGTTTGTATGTTAATGGAAATTCTTGCTTTGCTTTATCATTACCATTACAAATGATTAATTCGACGCGAACGAAGTCGCTGGTACACGCTAGTTTATTAATATTATTATAATAATAGTCAGTGTTACATCTGACCAAAACTTTGTGTAACTTAAAATTAATAAAAATAATAAAAGTCCAAAAACAATGGAAGTCCAAAATTTGTTTCCTATCATCTTAATTTAGTAAATATTGTTATTATACTGATGAAAAAGAGATATCATCATACAAAAAAAATGGTTAAAAAAACTATTAGAATAATTTTATTTCAAAATACAATAAATAAAAATGGATATACTGATGAAAATATAATATTTTTGACGCAGATTTCTTTATCAATTAATTAATGCCAGTTGTTCCACCATAAATAAAACCGAAAGTGGAATAAAAATGCATCCCTAACCAAACAAAAAACAAATTAAATCATCAAGCGCAGCATTTAAACCCCGGGCACAGGACCGAAATAAAGAAAAAAAGTGGACTGTAGTTACGTTCAGCAGTTGACAGAGACCCTTTATTAAATTTATTTTCGAAAAAACTCGGATTTAATTTAAGGCAATTTGCATAATTAAGTTGTTAAGAGAGAGGCATGGAAAAAATATAAATTGAAAAAAATAACGAACAAAACATTATTCAGTCAAAAAAATTGTAAATTTACATAAGATAGGGTTACTAAAAAAGTAGAGTGTAATTTTTATATAACGTAACACTAGTGAGTAGAATACAGTACAATTATTGAAGATAAAAATATAAATTTAAAAGTATAACAATAAAAGACAATAAATATTTTTTGAAATTAAATTTCTTCTTTATCTTCAAACGACTACCATATATGACTACCATAACTATAAGCACCCATGGAGAGTGAATTTAATACATACAGGGTCCGGCAATATTGCGTCGTTCAGGAAAATATATTAACTTCTATAGGGTGGGTCAGAAAAGTGTGAGTGGATCGGGATTTTTTTAAAGGAATACCCTGTATATTATTGCATTTTTGTTTGTTTATTTCAGATCACTGTACATAATCCT